AAACTAAGATAGCCATCAGAAATGATTAAGACACACAACATGATTCAAATATTGGCTCAAGGCAATGGTGGAAGGTTTGTTTTTTTTTTTAATTTTTTTTTTAACGTTTATTTATTTTTGAGACAGAGAGAGACACAGCATGAATGGGGAAGGGGCAGAGAGAGAGGGAGGCACAGAATCGGAAGCATGCTCCAGGCTCTGAGCCATCAGCCCAGAGCCCGACGCGGGGCTTGAACTCACGGACCGCGAGATCATGACCTGAGCTGAAGTCGGACGCTTAACCGACTGAGCCACCCAGGCACCCCAGAAGGTTTTTGATCAAACACACAGGATTTATCTCCAAAAGAATTATGTTGATGATAGCTGCCAAAGGCATTTAGGAGACATAAGTGTCAGCTGGGGAGGTCAGAAGTGCCTATACACGTGTGTTTTTAGCCAGGTCTTCAACCAGACTCGTCTAAATGGGCTAGGATTCTGCCATGTGCCAGCCACTGTGCTAGGTGCTGAGGACAGAGTAATGAATAAGATAGGAGCAGCCCTTGCCCTTATTGGGGCTTGTATGTGTCTGAACAAAGGATACAAACAAGGGCCGAGAGAGAATAACACATACGGCCTTTTTTTTTCTTTAAATGTTTGTTTTTGAGAGAGAGACAGAGTGTGAGCAGGGGAGGGGCAGAGAGAGAGGGAGACACAGAATCTGAAGCAGGCTCCAGGCTCCGAGCTGTCAGCACAGAGCCCAACTCGCGGCTCGAACCCACGAACTGTGAGCTCATGACCTGAGCCGAAGTCAGATGCTCAACTGACTGAATCACCCAGGCACCCCAACACACACGGTCTTTAAGGAAGTCCTCTTGGTGAGGATGACAGCTAAGCTGTGACCTAAATAAGGAGAAGGAGCTAGCCAGATGTGAGTGGACAGCATTCCCACCAAAGAGCACATCCTGTGCTGGACGTCCTGTGTGGGCAAAGTAGGAATAGACCGATATGGCTGAAGCAGGAATGGGGTGGGAGGAGCCCAATGTGTTTTCTGAAAGGAGGCAGAGGCTCAGACTGTGTAGGGCCTTGTATGAATTTGGGTTTTACTCCAATGCACTGGGGAGCCATTGGAGAGTTCTAAGTAGGACATGAACTGACCTGCTTGGTGTTTGAAGAAGAGCCACTGTTGCTGCTTAAGTGAAGAATAAATGGGAAGGAGGCAAGAGTGAAGGCAGAGAGATGGGTTAGGAGGCCTCAGGGAGGGGAGAGGGCGAGGAGGAGGAAGGCTCGCTTAGACTTCTGTAGTGTCTCCAAACCAAGTTCCGCTTAGCATTACAGAGAGAAGCTGATGGGGCTAAGAAGGGTGGCATTCATCCTCCGCTTTTCAACCTGGTTCCCATGACCAGCACTCCTGGCCCAGAGCGCATTACAAATGAATATTTCTACCTAAATCCTATGACCAGCCTGGGGATAGCATTTTGTGTTACAATTTTTTTAGTGCTGTGTCCTAGTTTGGGTTCTCCTAGACCCTGAGACAAATCGTACGGGGAAATGGCCGGCGAGGGTGTGTTAAGTCACTTCTGTGGGTGACTAGAACTTAACTGGTGCAGACACTCCGGGAAACACAGCTCAGCTCATCTACCCAAGTGGCGGGAGAGCTGTGGTATTTCTACACCAAATCCGTTCACCCGGCCATTGCAGGCTGGCTGCCAGGAAGGGGGTTAATTCTCTCTCATTTCTGCCTTCCTGGAGGGATGGGCCCATCCCCCCTCCCCAGTTATGAAGAAAGCCCTCAGCACAGAGATGCAGGTGTCGGTGGTTGGGAACCTCTGGAGCCCAAAGAAGTGGCAGGGTCTGAGGGATTCTGGAGACATACAACAGAGTGGCCTGGACTCTGCGTTGTGTTTTCTTTCACTTTTGAAATAGAGCTCAGATGATGAAGGTGACTGAAACTCTTTAACCACCAGGAGACCCTGAGAAGCTAGGAAAGGATTCCAGGGAGAAAGGATGATGGCTTGGACTGAGGAGGTGGCCATGGAGGTAGAGAGAAATCGGTGTATAATCTGAGTGCTGGTTGGGGGCGAGGAAGGCAGCAAAGAATAGATTTGAGGAGAGAAAACAAGAGTTTGGTTTTGTGTCTGTTAAGTTTTCGGGGTGTGAGGAATATCCAAGGGGAGACGAGGCAGGACTGGAGGCACAGCTCCACAAAGCGGATGGGTCGGGGGCAACTGGGTGGCTCAGTCGGTTAAGCATCTGACTCTTCGTTTCATCTCAGGTCATGATCTCATGGTTTGTGAGTTCGAGCCCCATAGTGAGCTCTGGCTGACAGCACAGAGACTGCTTGGGATTCTCTCTCCCTCTCTCTCTGCCCCTTCCCTGCTCACTCGCGTGTGCGCTCTCTCTCAAAATAAATAAACTTAATAAATGAATAAATGAATGAATGAATGAATGAATGAATGAATAAATAAATAAATAAATAAATAAATAAATCAGGGTGCCTGGGTGGCTCAGTTGGTTAAGTGTCTCACTCTTGGTTTCAGCCCAGGTCATGATCTCATGGTTCATGAGTTCGAGCCCCAGGTAGGGCTCCACATACTGACAGTGTGGAGCCTGCTTGGGATTCTCTCTCTCTCTGCCCCTCCCTTGCTCGTGTGCCCTCTCTCTCTCTCTCTCTCTCTCTCTCTCTCTCAAAATAAATAAATAACAATTTAAATTAATAAATAAAAAATAAAAAGGGGATGGGTGGCCAGGGGTTAGGGTGGAAGAAGGGAAGAACTGAGGGAGCACAGAGGATGTTTAGGGAAGTAAAATTATTCCACGTTAATGGAAATGTATCCTTACATACTCATCCAGACCCATAGGATGTACAACACCAAGAATGCGTCTCAGTGTAAACTACAGCCTTTGGTGATGACCTATCTGTGCGGGTTCATGTCCTGTAACAAATGTACCAGTCTGGTGTGGGCTGTCGGTGGCGGTAGGCTGTGTGGGTGTGGGGTGAGGGAATCGATGAGTACTCTCTGAAAGTTCATTCAATTTTGCAGTGAACCTAAAACTTCTCTAGAAAATAAAATCTGTTTTTAAAAAGTTGGGGGTGGGGGATAGGTTAAGGATAGGCAACAAAGATAAGCAGGGGAGAGGTTCAGAAGAGAGCAACGATGTGCCAGGGGCCGGGCAGAGGAGGAACCTGCACAGGATGAGCAAACAGGAACTAACCCCAGGCCTGCTGGGTGTAGGCACCCCCTTACTGCAGCTTCCTGGGAGATGGGTGTTCTTAGATGGGGACCCTCAGACTCTGAAAGGTGAAATAACCCACAGGTTTAAACTGAGAACAAGTGACTCCTTCCATCACTCTGCTGCCTGCCATACAGAGGACAACCTGGAGTAGTAAGGCAATGAAGGGATTGCCAGGGGATAAGACTCAAAGGAGAAGCCTTTGCTAGGAGGTATGTCTCTGCTTTGAGGCTTCACCTCCCCTGAACCCAGGAGAGAGTTGAATTTGGAGCTCCTCGTCAATGAAAAAAGGAGAGAGGAAAAAAAAAAGAATGCTTTTTGCCATAGAAAGAGGAAGAACTGGGGTGGCTGGGTGGCTCAGTCGGTTAAGCGTCCGGCTTCGGCTCAGGTCATGATCTCGCGGTCCGTGAGTTTGAGCCCCGTGCCGGGCTCTGTGCTGACAGCTCAGAGCCTGGGGCCTGTTTCAGATTCTGTGTCTCCCTCTCTCTGATCCTCCCCTTCATGCTCTGTCTCTCTCTGTCTCAAAAATAAATAAACGTTAAAAAAAAAATTTAATAAAAAAAAAAAGAGGAAGAACTAAGCAAAACCCAGAGTAATGTTGACCGTCTCTAATTGTGGCCCCAACTCGCAGAACATGACTTGTGGTTCCAGGGAGGTATTTTCCTAATCATCATAAAAAATAGCATATATCTTTTCATTTGCCTTTCTCTCAAAAAAGTCCAAAAATTCTTCTCCCAAACTCAGAAGGGAGGAATTTGGTTATTTTCTACTCTTCTGGTAATGTGCACAAGGTCAGTTTGTCTTTTTCCTTTAGCAGAACAATTTGTGTCCTTGTTGTGACAGTGAGAGAAAGCTGAATAAAAAAGATGTTTTTTCCAGGACGAGTGTGGAAAGAACGTTTTGGCCACCATGTCGGCCACTGCTTATTCATTCATTTGACAAACTTTTTTTTGAGCAGTTGCTATGAGCCAGGCACTAGCCCAGCCATTAGGACCTTAAAGACGAGTAAGACAGGAACTCTATCCCCAAGAAGTTCACAGTATGGTTAAGACCCACACAAGGCAACAGAAAATTCCGCTATAATATGACAGGAATAAGGAGAACCAGAAAGGCATGTGCACAATGCTTTCTAGGTACCTGGAAGATGGACGGGGGAGGTGGGCAGGGAAGGCTTGGCAGAACAGTGCCCATATGGTGATTAAACACCAGTCACGGTTACATTTGCATGGAATGAACGATTGGAGGACTCTGCTTCCTGTTTTAGGGGAAGTCTCTGGCTGCAGCCTGGGATGAGCTGAAGGCCATTCACTTTGTAGTTCTGAATAGAGCATTGGAAGGCTCTTGCATAAAATTCCTTCTGGGCCTCTGGGCCTGAGATTCTAGGGTATTTCATTCCCTTTAGGATAAGAGAAATCAGGCTTTAGTCAGAGATCAGCAGACCAGGAGACCCAGCATGTCTACTGAAGGGTTCTTGGTTCTAATGGTCCCCAAGCCAATGAATCCCTGTGTAACTTGAGGAAAGCTCGTTAACCACAGGCAGCTGCCTCAGCTTCCTGTTTGGAAAAGAAGTGATAAGCAGTGAGACTTCCTCTCCTATGGCCAAAGGACTTGAAAATCGGGCTGCTGTGTTGGGCCTCTGCTTCGTGTTGAGGGAAACAGTGATGCTTTGTTGAGCATGCTTAAAATGCCAGTGTGAAGAATGACTTTGGAATGATTGAGATTTATGGAGATAAAAATTACAAAATGTCCTGGCTTGATTTATATTGAGGAAAAAGGCAAAAAGACACCTATAAGGCAATACTTTCACAAGGTGAAAGTTAAACCATGTATTAAAACCATAACAAATTTAGATACACACACGCACACACAAAATGTAGACACAAGTTAATACAGTAGAAATTAATGCCTTCCATCTGACAAAGAGAATTTCTTTCAAACTTCTACCAAGCTATTGGATACCCAACAGGTAAAAAACAGAAATCTGCATCAAGCCTAGATATGGTCACTATTTCTTTCTAATCAGAGCTAAAACTCATCTCAGGTAGACGGGGGTCTGATAAGTGCCTTACCATGATGGTCACCTTTATTCCTCAGAGTTAGTGTTAAAAGGAAAAATAAAAAACTCTAGGTTTCTTGAGTAACAGCCTAGTCCAGGGGCAGGGACTGTGTTAGGCAGAGAACGCTGAGCTGCAGTGAGCTGGTACGTTACTTCACTTCTTCCTTTCCTTGACTTCATGTCCCTCTCACATCCAGAAGAGCCTAATTTGAGGCATTTGGGGATCAGAGCTTGTGCAAAAGCCTTGTTCTTCATTCCTGAATGAGAGAAGGGAGAGGAACTTCATTACTTTGAGAAAAACAAAATGTATTCAGTGTGTGCCTGCTGTTTGAAAATGCTGCAGGTCTGCTGGTGGGCAAAACAGTAACTGATATCTGTTTAACCCTACTCCGTGCCAAGTACTCCCCTAAGCATTTTGCCTGCACTGTCTCTCTCTCTCTGCACAGCTAATGATTTAAGGTCGATTTCGGTGATTGCTCTCATACTACAGATGCAGAAACTGAGGTGTAGAAAAGTTAAGCCACAAGGGATGCTTGATGCCCAAGACATACACCCCGCCCTCTAAGACCACAAATGACAAAAGAAGACTGATCCCAAGTCCTGGTGGCTCTAGAGCCTGTGGCATTAACCATTAACCATTAGCGCAGTGGGTTTTCAAATGGGGATGATTTTGTCCCCCAGGGGATATTTGGCAGATATTTTTGGTTGTCACATCTAAGTGGGTGCCTTTCTCTCACAAGCTCTGCAGGAAGACAGGAGCAGAAGAACCTAGAAAAGGGGAAAAAAAGGCTGAGAAAAAAAAAAAAAACAGAAAAGAAAAGGCTGAGAATAGAGTGGGTAATACCAGGCAGTTCCCCACACTGGTGAACATCAATTGCAGGGGTAGAATCAACAAGAATTGCTCAGACGAAAGAACAGAGAGTACAGAACACATAAAGGAAAGCATCCCTGTCAGGCTCAGGAACAGAGTATTTGGGGACATTTCACCAAAGGACAGATGGCCAATACTCCCCCAGGTTCGGATTCAGACCACCTTTTTACAAATATTTCCTATTAAGCCCTATTAAGCACCTTATGCTTCAACAAATATGGCAGAAGGGAAGACAACATCAGGTTAAGAAGGGTTTCTGCAGTCCGCTTTTGGGGACTGGCTCCAAAAATCCTGGCTCCTTCCCTTTCCACTTGTGAGAATTTGGGCAAATTACTAAACCTCCCTAAGCTTCAGTATCCTCACGTAATGAAATGGGGATGGTGAATTAAAAACAGTACCAATCTCACAGGTTGTGTGGAGACCATAGAAGCTACTGTTTTCAGCCAGATCTTGGCCCTATAAGTTCTCAATAAATGTTGGCTGACACTGATAGAAAAACAAGGAGACAAAGGTCACCAATTCTGTAGGCCATCTTCTTCTTCTTCTTCTTCTTCTTCTTCTTCTTCTTCTTCTTCTTCTTCTTCTTCTTCTTCTTCTTCTTTTGAGAGAGAGAGAGCACAAATAAGTGAGGGGTCAGAGAGAGAGAATACCAGGAGGGGCAGAGAGATAGAGAGAGAGAGAGAGAGAGCAGCAGGGCTCACCTGAAGCCGGGCTTGAGCTCACCCGACATAGGACTTGAACTCACCAACCGTGAGATCACGACCTGAGCCAAAGTCAGATGTTTAGTGACTGAGCCACCCAGGTGCCCCTATGTGCCATCTTTCCCTTCATCTTCTCCCATTCGTCCCTCAAGGACAGAATCTATCTATTCTAATAACACTTGTTTCCTCTGTGAGACCCTTCTTGAGCTCTCTTTCTCTAAACTCCCATAGCACTTTGCCTGGATTCCTTTTATTTAATGTAACAAACACTTCTAGTGCTCACTCTGTACCTGATGACTGTGCTAAGTGCTTTAAAATTTAACTCACTTATTCCTCACAACAATCCTTGGGGGAGGTATTAATATCACTCCCATTTTACAGATGGAAGAACATTCAGGGAGTTAAGTAACTTCTACAAGAGAGTTAAGCACTAAATGCCAGAACTGGTGTCTGAACCCCAGCTGTACATTCTGAACATGCCCCTGTCATGCCCCTTAGTATGATGGATCTTGGATTTGGTGGTTTTGTTTTTTTTTTTTTTTTATGTTTAATTTTGAGAGAGAGTGTGTGTGTGAACTGGGAAGGGGCAGAGAGAAAGGAAAACACAATCCGAAGCAGACTGCAGGCTCCCAGCTGTCAGCACAGAGCCCAACGCGGGGCTCGAACGGATGAACCGTGAGATCATGACCTGACCCGTCGGACGCTTAACCAACTGAGCCATGCAGGCGCCCTAAAATCACATGGCTAATTGATGCAAAGTCATCCAACACAGAAGGCTCTACCTGGGACCTAAGTAGGAAAGGAAATGCATTATTCCAAACGCTAAAACGGCCTTGGGGCAGGGAGAATGCAGGAACCACACTCAGATGAATGGCAGCAGGAGGAGGATGGGTGAAATGGACAGAAGGTAATGATATCTTTAAGCGTAAACAGGCCCCACCCAAAGAGACAGTACTAACTAAAACTTCAAAATTTTAAAACTGAAACCAAGATAAATACGCCTAATCATGAGGGAACTCCGTTCTGCTTTGTGGTTCATCACAGTGAAGTTTAGTTATGAACCAAACTGCCTATGTGTGGAAACTTAGATGTGCATAAAATAGGAGAGAGAGGCGCCCTTGCAAATGCTGGAGAAAAGGAGAGGTGGACAGTAAAGGACTATGGGTCTAAGGAACATGGAAAGAGAATGCGACCCCTTGCCTTTTCTTTGCCTCCTCCCCCTCACCTTTGCCAGCTCACATACTGGCTGGCCAGGTGTGACGATGTTCTGGGTTCTAGTCCTCTGCTTCCAAGCAGCTGCGTGACATTGGGAAGGTCTCTCCATCTCTAAAAGTCTGTTTTTGTGTCTACAAGACCAGTGCTCTAACCCTTGAGCTATGGAGCCTGTTTTTACAGTGTCTACAAAATCACAGGGCTAGACCACAGCATCATTTTTGTATTTGTTGTTAGTTTCTATTTCTTCTTCTTTTTTTAAAATTGGGGTAGGGGTGCCTGGGTGGCTCAGTCTGTTAAGCTTCTGTCCGACTTCGGCTCAGGTCATGGTCTCACAGTTTGCGGGTTCGAGCCCCATGTCAGGCTCTGTGCTGACAGTGCAGAGCCTGCTTGGGATTCTCTCTCTCTCTCTGCCCCCCTCCCCAACTTGCAAGGTCACACTCTAAATAAATAAATACATACCTAAGAAAAACTCATAAATTGACGTAAAATTCACATGACATAGAATTAACCACTTTAAAGTGTACAGTGATATTGAGAACATTCACTACATTGTGCAATCACCACTTCTATGTAGTTCCAAAATATTTCCGTCACCCCAAAAGAAAACCCCGTACCCATTAAGCAGTCAGTCCCCTTGCCTCCTCCTCCTCCCAGCACTTGGCAATTGCCAATTTGCTTTCAGTTTCTATGGATTTACTTGTTTTACATATTTCATATGAAAGGAATCATACATCTGGCCTTTTGGGTCTGGCTTCTTTCACTCAGCATAATGCTTTTTTTGAGCTCATCCCTCTTACAGTAGGTATCAATCCTTCATTCCTTTGTATGGGATTAATAATATTCCTAAAGACTACAGTACGATTTTGAGTTCCAATAGTTTGACCCCTTTCCTTTTCAAACATCTGTTCATAAACACAATATGAGCAGCAATTAAAAAGCAGGCAGGTACTAAGGGGAAATACTTGGGGTGCCTGGGTGGCTCAGTCAGTTAAGTGTCCGATTTGGTTTCGGCTCAGGTCATGATCTCATGGTTCGTGGGTTCGAGCCCCACATTGGGCTCTGTGCTGACAGTGCAGAGCTTGCTTGGGATTCTCTCTCCCTCTCTCTCTGCCCCTCCCCTGCTCACTCTATCTCT